GGAGGCCTGCAGCCGCCTCAGAGGCACACTGGAGGGCCTTCGTTGTTCCCTGAGCAAGCTATGATTCTGATGAGACTTTCCTCCTTCACCGCCTTCTTGGTGCAGCTCTTCTGGCCCTTGAGCAGAGGAGCCTTCCAAAGCCATTCGCCCGCACGACTGTTCCAGACCTGTGTGAAGGAAACAACCCTGGGCGCAGCGGCTCACACCTGTGATCCCAGCCGCCCAGGGAACTGAGGCAGGAGGAGCAGGCCAGCCTGGGCAACTTGGTGAGAACCTGTCTCGGACTAAAAAAGGAGCAGGGTTATAGCTCAGCCCCCGTGCCCCCAGGTTCAGTCCCTAGTACCGTAAACAAAAAACAAAAGCCTGTCGGTGTCTAGGTAACCCATCGCATGGCTCTACACCGAGCCTATGAAAACGTGTGTGGAGTAGGCAGGCGTTAGTACCCATGCCGGCTGCCTGTCAGGTTTGCTCTCCTGTCAGAAACATTCTGTTGGGTGCTGTGGGAGACGCGCTCGGTCGTGGGCCCTTGGTCGAGCTGGGCCCTTGGTGCCCGAGTCAGGCGCGGTGTAGACGGGTACTTTGAGGTGGCCTGGAGTTGCTTCGTATGTGGTCTATACCTGCACCTCTGGCAGCTTACCTGGACCCCTTAGGTGTCATCACTGCTGTCTGCGGTGAGATCTGGCTGCTTCTAAACACATCTTGGATGGTGCTGAACTTTTGACCAGCCAGCTGTTGGCAAAAGGCAAATATATTTTGCTAAGCCTACCTTAATCATTGCCTTTTTAATATAAATCAAGGTCTTTCCCAGCTGTGAAAACTTTACCTGAATCAGAGAGACAGCTGCTGGTGACATGTTAATTGGAATGTCCCTGTGTTCTATCTTTGTAAAATCATGTCATCTTGAGGAGAATCCAGTCTCCTCAAAGTTACCAGGCCCTTCACCTGCAGGGTGCAGCTTGGAAATAAAATTCCAACTCACCTGTCTCTAATTTAGTCCCCTGGACTCATTGGAATCCTTGGGTCCAGTCAGGAGCTTGAGGTTCTGGTCATACATCAGGGGAGACAGGAGGATTTGCCCTCGCTGGCGTGCCTGTTGTCCCTCCCTGTGTATGGTGGTGTTAATGTTTATGGTAGCGATATCACTGGCTTGCTTACACTCTTGTGTGTTAAAGGAGAAATGCAAAGCAGGGCGTGGTGGCCCACACCTGTCACCCCAGCACTCGGGAGGCTGAGGTAGGAATCACCGTGAATTTGAGGCCAGCCTGGGCTACGTAGCAAGACCCTGTCTCAAAAAAGCTTAGAAAAGAAGCAAGCCACGGTATTCTAAAATCCAGGATCCAAGTAAGAGGAAGTCCCGCTCCACTGTAAAATCTGTGGAGATGAAAAGGAGCAGGAGCTTCACCTCTGGGGGTTGGGCTTTTGATCCAGGGCGTCCGTTCACTTTCGTGACTGGGAAGCTTAGACCCTCAGGAGTTTTCCTCTGACAGAGGCTCTACCTCAGCACAGCGCTGCCGTGCGTGTGCACGTCACCTCTCCACTGCGCGGACCCCAGCCTCAGTGTGGCACTGAGCACGGGGCTCAGCTGTGAGCAGCAGCCTCTGCCCGTGCTGCCTGCTCTGGGCCCGGGATCGCACGTGAACGTCGTGCAGTGGCTCCGGCTCCGGCTCCGGCTCAGGGAACATGCATCCCAAATGCAGTTGAGAATCCCCAGTTCCTGGTCCGTGTGTCCTTTCTTGAAACTTGAAACTCATGAACACAAGGCTGTCAGGAAGTACCCTGTGGAGCTTTTCACGCCCTGCTTTACGCACAGCTGCACCTGAGAGCGCAGTGCTTGACGCGGAAACGTGATCCTCGGGCCCTGGGCACACTGTAAGTGGAGCTCAGTGGGAATGAGTGTGGGCCAAGGAGCTGAGCTGGAGCTTGTGCTGGCCTCTTCTGTCGGGGTGGGGGCTCCCCGGGCACTCGGTGGGTCCCTGTGGGGTGGGATGGAAACACATTCCAGAGGCCTTCCTGGGGCCGGAGGGGGCTAGATGGAAGGAGAGGCAGGGCCACCCCTGAAAGAAGGCACAGGCCGTAAGTGACCCACAGAAGGGTGTGGGGCATCCACCCACACAGGCCCAGGTCACGCAGCCCGGAGCTGTGGCCGGCAGCAAGCCTAGTTGTAATGAACTTGTGAGTGGTGGATGTGCTGGTGCCGGCGGCTGCTGGCTGTGGGGTTGAAAGTGGATCACTTGGCCGGTTTACCGTTGGCCCGGTGCAGGTCTGGCACGAGGTCCGATCTGTACTCACCCCGGAACTTGGCCCTTGCCGCCGAGGTTCTGAGGCTGACACAGAGTGCTTCCTTCCCAGCGAAGATGCTGTGGAGCCCAGGCCTTGTCCCGGGTGCAGCGGTCGCGTGCCCTTCTCCAGGATGTGCCCACTGGGGCCAGCGTGGCAGTGTCGCAGCGGGGGTTGGGGACCGGTGTCTGTGGCACTGGAAGTGCTGGCGGTGCAGGTTCCTGGGACAGCTCAGCTGAGTCTCGGGTCACAAGGGGTGGTACGTCCTGTGCCACACAACCGGTCCTGCTAAGGTCCTGTAGATTTTGTGCTCTTCTCTGCCTCCATGGCGCTGGGGGCCGAATGCCGGCCCTCCCAGGTGCTAGGCAGGTGCACTATGCCGAGCTGCACCCAGAGAGTCCACAGGAAATCGCGTGGCTCCAGGTGCCCACGGAGGGCACTGAGTAGCTGCAGCACCCAGACGCTTTCTAGGCCATCGTGCCGCATGTAGGATTTGAAAACCTCTCGTGCTAGAAAAACTGCTGTAAATGTGGGCCAGGACCAGAGGAGAGCTGAGCAGGGGCTTGACACGTGCGTCTCTCGCCTCTCCGCCTGAAGTGGAAGGCTTGAGCCCAGCTGGGGCTCCCTACAGGGCTGTGAAGACAGGCAGGGCCTGAGCCACTGTCCCCAGCGAGAGGCAACAGCCCAGACTCGGTGTGAGCCGCCCGACCCCAAGCAGAGAGCTGCCCGCTTTGGGAGTGAGACACAGGGCGTAGTGAGCACAGCGTGATCAGCTTTGGGGGCCACAGGGCTTCCTTTGAGCCTTGCCCCTTGCCCTGAGGACGGGGCAGCCTGTCCTTGGTCTGCTCTTGACCACCGGGCTGTACTGAGCGGGGTCAAGGAGTCGCAGGCCCCAGGGAGCACCCGTGTTTGTAGGAGAACTGCTCCCGGCTTTCTCTGGGAGCCCTGCACCCCCGACCCGCCGCCTCCGAGCTCCGGGGCCTGAGCTCTGTGCTCAGAGCCATGCAGCGTTCCTAACGATCGGGCTCAGAGCCAGTGACCTGGACGGGGCTGGCCGTGGGGCGGGCAACGAGCCGGTGGCTCTGCTCGTGTTATTTTTAGTATGTGTTGTCGGGGGCACTGCAGCCGCGCACAAGGAGCTGGGCCTGGTGCCGCACAGCTGGGGCCTGCAGGGGGCGGGCAGCGCGCCGGGTCCCTGCCAGGCGCGTTAGCTGCAGAGTCGGCGCTTGCCTCACAGTGGCCAGGCCTGGGGACGGCGATGGTGCTGGCCTCCCGGTGTCCAGGACTGGAAGCCTTAAGCACAGGTGTTGGGCCTGTCCGCTCCACGCTGAGATCGGAAGGAGCAATACTGGGGACGAGCCGGGCGTGGCGCGCTTCTGTCTTCACAGCACTTTGGAAGCTGCGGCTGTGCCTGGGCCAGGCAGCCCCGCGGCAGAGTGCTCGGTCTCCACGTTTGATCCCCAGCCCCTGACTGCCCCCATCTTTCTATTGTTTACCTGAAGTTCAAATTTACTGTTCTGTTTTTATTTGCTAAAAAATTTGTAGATTGTATTTAAAATAAACTTCCAAACTTTAACTTCATGTGCATTCTGAAGCCTGGGAACAACATGGGAAGGGCATTAGTCAGAAAACCGTAAGCAACTGGGTGGGTGGGCACGCCTGTCGCCCCAGCACTTGGGGAGGCTGAGGCAGGAGGATCACAAGTTCAGGCCCAGCCTTGGTGACTTAATGACACTGTCTTAAACAAGGGGTGGGGAGGTAGGACGGGCTGAGGACCGGCTAGTGCGTCTCCGCCCACACCTGGCAGCCGCGAGCCAGGTCTCACAGCGGCCCACAAGCCCACACAGGGCCCCAGTCTCTGCCCCGTGTGGCTCTGGGACCACAGTGCGAGGCCCTGAGGGACAGTGGCCACCGCACAGTGGGGGCCATCAGCCCGCAAAGGTACTGTGCCGCTGCTGCCTGCTGGGGACAGGCAAGAGCTGCCAGGGGCCGGGCCGGGCTGGGACAGGACGTGTTTGATGGACAGCGTTTCGGTTTGTGGGTATTTTTAAATTTTATTTGCAGTACTGGAGAAAACCCAGGGCCTTCACACTGAGCTACATCCCCAGCTACCCCCTCCCCTTTGAGACAGGGTCTTGCTGTGTAGTCCAGGTTGGCCTTGAACTCACTTTGTAGCCTCGGCTGGCCTCCATCTCACAGCGTTCCTCCTGCCTCAGCCTCCCAAGTGCTGGGGTCACAAGTGTGCACCACCACATCCGGCACCCTCAGCCTTGTTTCCCCCTTTTTCATTTTTTGGGATAGCGTTTCACTAAGTCACTGAATTATCCAGACTGGCTGAAGTTTGTGATCCTCCTGCCTCAGCCTCCCAGAGTGCTGGGATTTAGGTGCGCTCTATAACATTTGGCTTAGTTCTGTCTTACTGGGGTTTCTGTTGTTACAGAAGTATCATACTATTTTTAAAAAATTACAGAATTCAGCCCCCTAAAGATGGTTTTATACCAGTTGAATGGATATATAATAATGTAGAAAACTCATTGAAGACACATAAGGAAAAAGAAAACTGTAGAAAATTCAAACACTCAGAAAATAAAAGGTATCAGTAACTGCCCAGGTCCCCAAAAGGAACGTTTGGCATTATTATCCCTGCCTAAAAATGCATGCACGCACTTACTCATTTCTAAACGTGGAAAGTATGAAGGAGAGAAAAATGGTCAGCAGCACCCACACTCTGATCACCTTTGTTCATATTTAAAAAGCAATCTGAGTTGTGCATGGCAGTGCACACCTGTTCTCCCAGCTACTTGGGAGGCTGAGGCAGGAGGATTGCAAGTTTGGGGCCAGCCTGGGAAACTTCATGAGCCTGGCCTTAAAATAAAAATTAATTACATTATTATTATTTCTTTTTTTGGTTCTTTTAAAATAAAAATTAAAAACGCTGGGTGTGGCTCAGGGTAGAACACTGGCCTAGTGTGTACCCCCTAGTTTATCCCCCGCCCATACGATACAAAAAATTCGTCTTAATAATGAAGCGTCCCAGACCTGTAAAACTCTGATCCACGCAGGTCCCGGCCTGTGGCCTTCAGCTGTCAGTCCCCTCCGCGCCCCCCTGTCTGGGGGGGGCTCTGGCTGGGGGCTCACCCCACCCCCTTCCGTGTCCCCATCCCTTCTGCACATCGCACCATCCCGAAAGCGCAGCAGTGCTTGTAAACTGCCCAAACGGCCGCCCCTGAGAGACCCACGTCGCTCCGTCGGGCCTTTGGGTGACCAGCAGTCTCCGCCCAGTGATGAACGTCCCAGAGCACGGCCAGGGCAGGTGACGGCAGAGGACCTGCACTAGCTTTGCCTGGCTGCTGAGGACGATTGATCGATTGATTGGGGGAACAGCAGCTCGGCTGCTTGGCTGTGCCCTGGGGGTGCTTGGGAGGAATTTCCTTCCCGCTGAGTTTTGAATCCAGCTTTTTGTTTTTCAAGACAGGGTCTGGTAAGTCACTAAGTTACCCAGGCTAGGCTGAGGTTTGCGTCCTCTTGCCTCAGCCTCCCAGGGCTGGGCTTCGGGCATGTGCCCCTCCTGACACTGAATCCTTTGCTTCTAGGAGTGGGAAGAGGTGGCAGGTGCAGCTGGGTCCCTTCATGGGTCAACAGTTGGGGCTCAGTCAGCACTGCATTTTGGTCCCGTTCCTTTCCAGCTCTGACCACTGGGCTCCCCACCGAGACGCGGGCTGTGCCGGAGGTGCCGGGAGCAGCCGGGCCAAGTCCGCAGAGCTGGTGCCTCCCTCACTGCTTCACTCAAAATTGACAGCTGGAGCTGGACGCCCCGGGCCTGCGTCCTCCACTCACTGCTGGCTTTGTCACCGTGGGGACAGTGCCCCCCCCCCGAGATCTGGGGATGGGGAGGGTGCTGGCTGCTGGGGCGGCTCCGGACGGACTCCCAGATTGTTCCGGCGTGGGGTCTGCGGAGCTTTCGTTTCTGTGGCACAGCAAGAAGGGTTTCTACACGGAGGGCACCTGTGGGCAGATCAGATTACACTGTTTTGCTTCAACATCCTGGAGATCACTGGAGTCCAGATTAAACCTGGTTAAACAGAACTAGCTGGGCGCGGTGCTGCATGCCTGTGAGCCCAGTGCAGAGGCTGAGGCAGGAGGATCCCTGCAAGTTTGAGGCCAGCCTGGGCCACATAGTAAGATCCTGTCTCACAACAGAGCCGCTGAGCCGCCTGGGTGTGCAAGGTCCGTGCATCTTGCCATGGCCCCAGCCCCGCGCGAGACACCCATGGACACTGCAGGCTTCACCACCAAGCCCAGCCCACGGCCCCAGGGTCCACCCAGGGAGCAAGTGAGCCTGTAAGAGGCCGGTGGGTCCCCTGTGATCGGGGACGACTCATGCTCAGGGTGCAGCGCACTGACACAGGGTCGGGCCCTGCCCCAGGCCCTTTCTGATGGGATGGGGCAGGGCGAGGAGCCGCCTGGGTGCTGGGCAGGGACTGGGTAGTGGCAGAGTGGAGCCTGAGGAGGCCACCACAGAGCAGGGCTTTGCTCCTGCAGGGCAGTCCTGGGTCGGACAGGGCTGGGTAGTGCAGTGGTCAGTGCTGACCTGCTGTGCTGAGCTGAGTTCAATTCCCAGCACTGCCCCCAAAATACAAAATAGTCCCCCCAAACACAAGTGAGGGTTCAAGATGGGGTAGGTAGGAGAGGCGGCAACGTGGGCGGGGAGGGGAGGGCAGAGCAGAGGAGGGCAGCTGAGGTTAGCAAGGGGCAACAGACTCGTGTGCTGGGCTCTGCGTGCCAGCGATGTCCGTTGGGAGGCCAGAGGATGGCAGCAGAGGATATGGGCAGCTGGAGAGGATGGCAGATAACGAGGGTATTTTTACCCAAGTGGCCCCAGAGCTGCCAGGACAGTGTGGGTGGGGCAGAGGCGGCACGGCCAGCAGGAGCTCGGGGGGTCGCAGGCCAGGCCGAGAGGATAAAGGCGTGCATGCCGAGGTCCCTGCTGGATGCTGGGGAGGCTGAGCGGGGCAAGGCCTGCAGCCCGTGGAGCATGCAGCGTAGAGGCCAGGCATGGCAGATGTGTCCTCCTCTGCCCGTCCCACCCTTGTGCCTGGGGGGCGGCAGCCTGGGCTCAGTGTCTGAGCAGAGGACTGTGGACCTGCCACTGTCCAGCCGTCAGCAGAGCTGCTCACGCTGTCCACAGCCACAGCCCCACTGACCAGGATGGTGCCCAGAACCTGGGGACTCTTTGTCAGGCGAGGGCCCCAGGCCACCTTGGGAGCGGTCAGCAGGAGGCCTCGGAGGTCATGGTGGCCATAGCCTGAGCCCAGCCTGCTGGCCACATTCTGTCCTGGTGCACGGCAGCGCCCTGCGCACCTTGGAGGGGAGCGATGGTCACTTCGGGCCATCCCAGGCCTGGAGCCAAGGGCAGGACAAAGCCAGGCCCAAGGAGGCGGAACTTTCGTCCTGCAGCTTCAGGGCTCCCCTGCCTTCCAGCGAGGACGGCGCCCACAGTGCCCGGCCGGTGCTGCCTCCTGCTGGCCAGCCTCAGGGTGAGCCTGGTGCTGCTGCATCGGCCGCCGGGTTGGGATGTCGAAGACTTGGTGAAGAACAGGCAAAGGCAGGGAATGTGAGGTCCTGATGATCGTTCTGTCTGGAGGTGCAGAACAGGATGCCGCCAAGCATGAGACCCGCTCCGCCCGCGCTTCCTGCCCAGCCTAGCCTGTCCCGTCCCTCGGGGGAGCGGCGCTGCACCGTCCCTGTCCCCAGGCTCTGTCCTGCTGCCTCCCACTCGGGAACAGCAAGGCCACCTCAGCCCCACAGATGCCCTGGAACCCAGCTCTGTGCCCATGGCCACCTGGTGCTGAGTCCTGAGGAGGGGCTGTGGGAGGTTGTCAGGTGGAAACGTGGGCCGGGGGCGCCTGGCACCAGTGGCCAGGGCAGCAATCAGAGCCCTGGTCCCCTGCATGCTCAGAGCCTCCTGGGCTGTGACACCGCCCTCCAGGGACCCCGATGTGACCACCACAGCCCAGGCTCAGCCGAGAAGAGCAGATGGCATGGAGCCAGAGCCCGACCTGGCCCTTCCCACGCGCAGGTGCGAGAGGCTGCAGTGGCCTCAGAGCTGCCTGGGTGACCCCAGGGTCTGAGAGGCCAGAGACAGGTGGGAACACAGCCCAGGTTGTCACTTTGAAGATCCGGGGGTCGGGGTGCAGCCTGCTTGACGGGGGAGGACTCCCCCACCCTGCCAGCGGCTCGCTGTCCTCTTCCTCCCTCCCTGTGGTACTTGGGGCTGAGCCCAGGGCCTTTGCAGAGCAACATCCCCAACCCTTGGGACAAGATCTGCGGAGTTTCCCAGCCTGAGCCCACCTTGGGACCCTCCTGCCTCAGCCTGACAGTGCTGGGACAACAGGCATGTGACCTCACCCAGCAGCTGTGCTGCTGCTGCCTGCTGCTTTCTCTCCTCCCCTCCCTCCCATACCCCACCCTTCTCTTTTCTCTTCCCGCCCCAGATGGGCCCCACAGCCCTCCTTCCTCCGGGCTGCCCAAGCCGGCCCTCAGGAAAAGCGGACGCAGTCACAGACCTGAGCTCAGAGGTGGCCTCTGCCTGGAGCAGCTCCAGGCCCAGCCCAGCCCCCCAGGCTCGGAGGGGGCAGAAGGCAGTGGCGAGGCAGGCGTGCACCAGGGCAGGTGGTGCTGGGCTGCCCCGCTTCCTGGACTCAGGAGGCGACCGCCACATCTCTGGGCTGCAGCGAGGGGCAGCCGTGAGGCCGGCCGCGGGGAAGGGAGGCCCCAGGCCTCCACCCGGCACTGCTTCCGCGTGGAATCACCTCACCTCTGCTCCCTGCAGTCCCGGTACCCGCCCCCGCACCCCAACAGTCAAGTATCCTCCAGGACCCAGGCAGGGAGGGACCCCAGCACACGGTGCCGTTCACAGAAGAACACGCAGGTGGTGTGGGCTCCTCGGAGCCTGAGTGCGACCTTTAATCCGTGCCCAGCCCCAGTGACATCTGTACAGGACCTGGGCGGCACAGCGGCCCCCGCCTCCCGGGTGGGAAGGACGCAGTGGCCGGGGCCAGGGCAGAGACACAAAGTCTGCGTCCTCCCTGCCCCCACCCTGGGGGCCGGCAGCCCCGACTCCTGGCCACGCAGGCCCTCGAGGCTCCGTTGGGGCAGTAGGGGGCACTGCAGCGCACGCCCTCCAGCCCCATGAAGGCCGCCTGGGCCCTAGGCCCCTGCTCCATGCCGCCTCCTCAGAGACCGCCAGAGCCCCAGGTGGCCTCAGTCCACTGTGGTGCCCCAGCTCCTGCCTGATCTGGAGCCGGCTCCCCTAGGCGGCGGCCGCAGGGACTTGGGGGATGAGGAGAGGGTGCCGAGTGGAGCAGGTCTGGGGGGCCTGGAGGCTGTTCCTGGACCTTGGTCACCTGAGACCTGTCCTGGGCTCGCCCCAGCCCGGCCACCTTTGTCCCTCCGCCTGGAGGGTCCACCCTAGGAGCCAGCCTGGCCAGGGCACTGGACCTTGGGTCAGCTTGCCATTTTATTTGCCCCAAATGCACGTCCTGGCAGGGACAGGGGTTGTCAGAATTTGTGACAGTCTGGGACTCAGCTGCTGCACCCGGGACCGAGGCCTGGGGCACAGGACAGGCAGCTTTGGTTTAACTCCTGGGCTGGGCGGGGCTGAGCGCAGGCAGGAGGGGCACCAGGATGAGTGTCCCCGTCAGGGCCTGGTGCCAGGTGAGTGGCCTGGGGTCCGGGCTGGGCACCAGGCCCTCTGTGCGCATCAGACCCCCTGCCCAGAGCCCTGGCCCCCGCACCCGAGTTACATTCATCAGTTAGATCAGACAGGAGGAGGCCCGGCCTCCGGGACCGTGCGCAGGGCAGAAGCTACATTCACACGGGGGTGTGTGCAAGGCCAAAGCCGCAGGAGGGCAGGGACGAGTCCTTCAGGCCCAGCCACCGCGGCCGGACAGCGCCACACCACCCTGCGCAGCAGAGCGGAGGGAGACCTGGAAGACACGTGCACGTGGCCGCCCCGGTGGCTGGTGGCCCACGGGCCAGGTGTGGGGAGGGTGGCGCTTAGGCCCCTCCAGACCTGGAAGGAGAGGGGGTGTCAGGGAGGAGCCAGGCAGCAGGGCCCAGGTCACTCCCGGTCACAAGTCACAGGCCAGCAGGCAGCAATAGGGAGGTCAGACAGTGGTGGCACAGAGACAGAGACAGATGGGCCTCGGGATGGCGCGGCGGGCAGAGGACTCCTCAGGCAGCGGATGAGAGGGGCCGTGAGATGAGATGGATGACCAGGGCGGGAGGGTGGTGTGGCCAGTGTCACACTGCCCCCTGCTGGGTCGGGTCGTACCTTCCTCGGCGGATGTTTCTGCAGGTGCCCGGAGAGGCCAGCAGGGAGAGCAAAGGGAGGAGTCACCCTCCAGTCCCCATCCCGAGGGCCGAAGCCAGAGCCCACGGCCCTGATGGTTGCACACTAGGGACAGATCAACCCCCAACGCCGCCTCTGGCGCCCTGGTCTGCATGCGGCGGGGTCAAACGGCTCCCCCGGAAGCCCAGAGGGGACATGGGGCGGCTCTGGACAGGGACCCCCAGTCGGGCTGGGAGTCGGTATGAACATGGGACCCCGGGGTCAGTGTTCGGGGCTCATGACTTTAAGTGGTAGCAGCTGGCCTCTCACCACCCCCAGAGCCCAGAGCCTGGGTTGGGCATCCCGTGTGTCTCTTACTTAAACCCCCAGCCTGTGCCCCCCAGGACGATGGCTGCGACCAGGACTGCCCCGGCGATGGAGCCGATGATGATGTTGGTGCCGCTGGGACCTGGGGAGGAGATGGCTTGGTGGCAGGGATGTCCCGGGTCGCAGGGACAGTGTCCGGCCAGCCCCAGCTCACCTTTGTACCGCTCCGTCTCCCCAGTGGGTGGGGACGTGGGCAGTGGGTTATGGACACTGCAGTCCTTGCCCGTCCAGTCGGGCTGGCAGATGCATTTGCCCTCGTTGCTGCAGACCTGGGGGGGCGCACAGTGAGCAGGGCCAGGGCTTCTGTCACAGGTTGGTTTTTAGAGAGTCTCGCCGTGTAGTCCAAGCTGGCCTTGAACTGCAACCTGCCTGCCTCAGCCTCCCAAGTGCCGGGGTCACAGTGCCCCACTCCCGTGCCCTCCTGCAGCCTCCCCACGGCCCTGGCCCGCACTCACCCCGTGGTGGGAGCAGACCCGGCGCTCCCCGCTGCCTGGGCAGGTGCTGAAGTTGAAAGCCGAGGCCGGCAGACAGCGGTGGCCCAAGCACAGCATGTTGGGCCCGCAGGCCGTGCCGTCCTCCACGTAGCTCAGGTCAGAGCCGTCGGCCAGCTGCACGTGGCCGCCCCTGGGAAGGGACAGCGCGGGGCCTCGTCCTCCACCCCCACCTGTCCCTCCACGCCCAGCCGAGGCCGGCCATACCTGCAGTCCAGCTCCTTGCCCTGGTGGTAGAAGGTGACGCTGCTGACGTCTCCCCCCAGCTCGCCCAGCCGAGGAGCTCCGGAGATGTTGACGCAGAGGAGGAAGCCGCACAGCACGTCCCTGCGGGGCAGGGGCACAGTGACCGGGGCCCTGGCAGCCCCGCGCCGCCCCAGCCGCCCGCACTCACTGCTTGTTGCACTGCACCCAGCCTGAGCCCTTGCGGCCGCAGTTCCCGCGCTCCGTGCCCTCCACGTTCAGCTTCTCGTAGCAGAAGCGATCGGCGGCCGCTGCAGGGAGACCCGGGAGCCCCGGCCTCAGGGCCGCACCCCGCCCTGGTGGCCGGGCTTGGAGCCGTGGCGCGTGGGAGGAGCCCTCCGTCCGGGCCCCCAGCCCCCAGCCCACCGCGCCCCACTCACCACGGCCCCACAGGGCCTGGCACTGCCGGTCCCGGGTCCTGCAGCGGCCTCCGTAGCAGCGACCCTAGGGCCGGGGCGGGGGTGAGCGCGGGCCCGGGGGCGGCCCGGGCGGGGAGGGGGCGCCACGCCTACCTGCTCGCGGTCGCACGTGTAGCCGTCCAGCTTGTGCAGGTTAGGGGGACACTGCGGAGAGAGCGGCCTGAGGGCTGCGCCCCGGCCCCGGAGCCCCAGCCCCGTCCCCTGCACCCCGAGGCCGCGACGCCTGGCCGCGAGGCCCGCAGGGGTCGGCAGGTCACGCGTGGGCACGGCGGCGGCCGGCCACGGCCGGACGCGACCGGGGAGGGCGCCTAGGAGCGCAGGAGCCCCCCGGGGGAGACCGAGGCTGCAAGCACCGCGGACCTGGCTGGAGTCCCCGGTGCAGGTCTCCGCGATGTCGCACTCGTTCACCGCCTCTCGGCAGGAGACGCCCCGCGGCTCGTACTGCGGAGAGGGCGGGGTCAGCGGGCGGCCGCAGCGACGCCCCGCCCCCGCGCGCCCATTGGCGCGTTCCTCGCGCCAGGCCCCGCCCCTGCCGCCCCGCCCCCCGCGCACCTTGCAGCGGCGACAGCACAGCCCGTCGCTGCACATGGCGTCGTGCGTCAGCGTGCACTTCTTGCAGCAGTTGCCGCCCGCCCGGCTGCACTCCTGGGGGTCGCGAGGAGAGGAGGGAGGCGGGCGGCTGACCCCACCCTCCCCTCGGCCGCCCCGGGGCCCCGCGTCCCGCCTCCGCCGCTCACCTGCACAGAGCCGCAGTCGCACTCCTCCCCCGCCTCCACGAAGCCGTTCCCGCACTCGGGCGGGTCCAGGAGCTGCGGGCGGCGGGATCGGGGTGAGGGTCGGGGTGAGGGTCGGGGTCAGGGCTGCGGCCGGGGTCAGGCCTGGGTCGGGGTCAGGCCGTGGTCGGGGTCAGGGCCGGCGTCGGGGCCGGGGTTAGGGCCGCGGTCTGCGTCAGGGTTGGGGCCGGAGTCGGGGTCCGGGTTGGGGCCGGGGCCGGGGTCGGGGTCAGGCCGGGGTCAGGGCCGGGGTCGGGGTCAGGCCGGGGTCGGGGTACCTTGAGCGGCTTGTTGAAGAGGCAGCTCCCGCCGCCCTCCTGCAGGAACTGCGTGTACTCGTCGATGCTGCAGCGCGAGAACTTGCGGGGCAGGTAGAACCTGGGTGGGGAGGGCATCGCGGCTGGCACCTCCTGCCCGCCCGCTGTGGTCCCCGGCGCAGGGAGGCCCGAGGGGCCGCCCCGTGGCGATGTGGGCGCTGCGCCCCAGCCCCTCCCCGAGGCCCGGCCCCCCACTCACCCGGTGTCCTCCATGATGCAGCCCAGCCAGACATCCGGGCACCTGCAGTCGCCGGCTGCGCTCCGGTGCAGGTTCCACATCATGCCCAGGTTCTGCCCCAGCGTCTGTGCCAGCGTCACCGCCATGGCCCCCATGTTGCCATACTGGGGGTGGGAGAGGGAGGCCAGCTGCCTTCACCCCACACCCCGGCCCAGCCCTCAGGCTCCCTGCTCACCTCATTCACGCCGCCTCCGCGGGACAGCGAGCAGATGCCCCCCACATAGGCCGCCCCGCTGCTGGAGCTCTGGAAGGTGCGGCCCCTGCGGGAGAAGCCTTCAGGACGGGCTGCAGACCGGAGCCCTCCCTTGGGAGGGAAGCCCTGGCCTGAGGTCAGCCCGGAGACCTCCCTGCCTCTGCAGGCTCCACCCTAGGTTTGAGGCCCCTGGCCCTGAGGGAGGAAGCTGGCCTAAATAGGGCAGAGGAGGGCTCAGACACGGGGCCCAGGCTCCCCAGCCAGGCTGCAGCGAGGTCCAGCAGGCCCACGAGGCTGGGCCGTCAGCGGCAGGGTGCCCAGGGTGGCACTCACGAGAAGAGGTGGGTGGCATCACTAGGCTCGGGGAGCCCTTCCTGCCGGTACACCATGAGCCGCGCCAGCGTCTCGAGGAGGTCCTCCTGCACCTGTATCTTGTCCCCGTCGGCCCACGTCTCCATGGCGACCAGCACTATGCGGGTGTTGAGCTGCTCCTTGTATATCTGGACCCAGAGGGGAGCGGGGGATGGCTCTGGTAGGGCCTGGACAGGGCCGCAGGACGCCTGGCTCTTCCAGGAGGCGGGGTCTGGGGCAGGGGCGGGCTCAGGGCTCACCACGTCTGCCAGGTTCACCACGGACTTCGCGAAGTTGCTGGTCAGGACCACTGACTGCCTCATCTGCTCGAACTGGGGGAGAAAGCACGGTGGGCTCCTTGCAGGCTCCCCCAAGCCGTCCCCAGGCCGGGCACCTACCAGCTGGTGGTCATTGATCACGATGAGCTCCACATACTTGGTCTCGCTGTGGACAGTGGGGTGGCCCCTGCGGACCTGGGAGTGGGTGGACCCTGGGAATCAGTCCCTCCAGGCCCAACGCTGCAGTGGACTCCAGTCAGGGCTGGTGCAGCCCCTGCGGAGTCCGGTTACCCCCAACCAGGGACCGCACATGCCACGGTCAGGAGGTGCTGGGAGCTTGCCCCAGAGACGGCCCGGGGTCTGAGCGGGCCCCATACCTGCCTTTTCCTTCTCAGCCTTGGCCGGCTTGGAGGGACAGAGTGGGCAGCAAACAGGCAGCCTGTGGGGACACTTGGGTGAGGGTGCTGCCCAGCCTGCCTAGTCCTGCCCAGCCCCACTTCGAGCCCTTACCTGGCTCCCTGCATCCGAGGGAGGCTGGGAGGAGAGGAGTCCGGTAGATGAGGTGTGGGAGGGGTCCCTGCAGTAAGGGAGTTAATTCTTGGGGGGCCAGACAGGTCTGCCACCGGCCCTCCCCCACCCCACCTTGGGTGACCCAGAACCAGCCAGGGCTCTATGTCAGATCTGATCTCCCAGATCCTCAGATTTCTGGAGTCAAGACCTGGGGGTGCCCTGAGAGCTGGGGGCAAAGGACACTGGAGCCCATGGGAGGTCGTGTGGGGGACAGCAGGGATATTGGAGCCGGGGGACAGCCAGGGAACCAGAGCTGGGGTCACTGAGGAGGGCAGGGAGGCTGAGGTTACTGCTGAGGCGGCAGGTGGCGTCAGAGGGGCAAGGCTGGGGCAGGGTACCTGGGGGGGTGCCCGAGGCCCAGCCAGCACCTGGGGCTCCACGATGAAGGTTGAGTTTCCATCAGAGAAGACCCCGCTGTGGAGAGAGGGGGCTCGCACCGTCCATCCCCTGGGCCGGCAGGGCCCCACCCCCCAACACTACTCACTGCAGCCCCTGGCAGGTGGACAGCGCGGCGAAGGAGTGCGGGTTGCCCCGGAGCTTGCCCTGGTAGTAGCAGTGGTCTCCAGCACCCTGCGGAGCAGGGCTGGTGAGGAGGTACCTGGGGAGCCCCCAGCAGCTGCCCATGTGCTGTGTCCGGGATGGCTGGAGGCCAGTGCTGCCCCTGACCTGCTGAGTCGCCTGTGACGGTGGGTCAGACACCGGCTGCACGGAGGTGCTTGGCCGTGCCTTGGTGTCTCAGCAGGTGACTGCCACAGACCCCACCAAACAGCCGGACTTGCCGCGGCCCGAGGCCTGGCTTGACTGGTGGTCCCTGGTGGAGGGGCGGGGGGCAGCCGGTCCTCCTGGCCGTGCTCGGGTCAGAGGACTGGCCCGCCTTGCTGCCACTGACTCTGGCTCCGGGGAATCACTCCTGCTCCAGTTACTGGGCGGGTGGGGCAGGGGCTGTTCACAGCTGCCCATTCATCTGCGTCCAGGCCTGGGCCCTGGGGCAGGGAGCCTGTGTAGCCCGCAGCGGGACCCCAGGCTGGACTCTGTGACACAGCTGGCTGGTACTGGGGCCCTGTTCACTTGCCCTGCCCACTGCCAACCCAGGCCTCGGAGCCGGGGAGCCCCCACTCACAGTGCTGTGCTGCGCTGCGCCCTCCCGGCTGAAGTGGCGCTCCACGTACTGAGAGGACAGCAGGTGACTGGGACAGCAGAAGGCACCACTGTCACTGTCACCCTCCCAGTGGCCAGCCAGGCCCCCACGCCCTGCCTGTGCCCCCAGGAGCACTCACTGGTTCAGCTCCAGGTCCAGGGTGAAGTTAGAGTTGAACGCAGGGATGACGAAGCTCACCTGGGCCAGGTGGGCAGGCTGGCACGGGCGAGGGCAGAGAGGAGTCAGGCTGCAGGGCCCAGGGCCTCAGGGCAGCAGGGGCCCAGCAGCCAGCGCCACGAGGGACTCTTGTTCCCTAGGGTGGGGGCTACAGCTGTGCTGCACCCTGCACCCTCTGGCCCAGGGCACCTGCCACCCCCCCATCTCCCAGCCGGGGCCCAGGGCTGGCTTCTCTGGGCCGAGGCTCCCACGCCAGGCCGCCCTGTGTGCACCGCTGGTGGGATTGAGGGCCGGGCCTGGAGGATCATGCGAAGGAGAGGGGTCCTGTCAGGGTGGACAGGAGACAGTGTGGACTGGGCCAGGCAAGGGACCATCCCCTCTGATCTGGAGGATAGGAATTGGTTCCTCTACCCCCAGATGCACTGCCCTCCCCGCCTGGCCCAGAGCAGCTCATCTTTAATATTTCAATCTGCGGTTAATTTTTAAACACGGACGTTTTCCTGATGAATTTTTCAGAGGGGCCGAGGCAGTGGGGCTTGAGGCTCCAGGTTGCCATGGCAATGCGCACAAGGCCTAAGCAAGGTGGTCCTGACCCAGGGCCAGCCCTAGGGTACCGGGACCTCAGACCCCCCAGGGGGAACGCAGGGAGGCGGGTCCTGCCCCACACCAGTCTGAGCACCGCTCAGTCTTATGGGGGCCCGGGGGCCCCAGAACTGAGCCCACTTCACACCCCAGACCCCACAGCCAGGGCGAGTCTACTCCTGGCCTGGCTGGTGTGCTGGGAAGAAGGTAGCCTGACGGGTCGCCCCAAAGTCCCCGACCTGCTGCCTGGCGCTGCCATCTCCTACAAGCGTCTCATCAACCAGGCCTGACCCCAGTAGGTGCTCCTGACTGCCAAGGACATTGAGGCACAAGGAGGTGATGTCTTTGCCTAAGGCCACACACTTAGGGACCAGGGGAGCTGGGACTCAGACCCGAGGTTCCATCCCAGGATGCCCTTCCCGAAAGGCGGTGCAGCCTAGGTCCCTGGGGAGAGGGCGAGGGGACATGGGCAGAGCAGGTGGCCAGGGCTCAGCCCAAGGACATCCCTCACCCATCCTGGCTGACCAGGTGCCAAGCTCCTCCCGGCCCACAGCATTGATCAGACTGGAAATAGCGAGCCACGGCCAAGGGCGGGATGTCCGGGTGCTTCCGGGCCCAACTCCCCTGCCCTGGGCCTGGGCCGCCTTCGATCTGCACCCACAGCCCCTCTCCTGCTGCCCATGCCCCCAGGACGGCCTGGTGGCCGCTGAGCCGTGGGTCTCCCTGAAAGGTAAGATGAGCTGCTCCTGGGCCCAAAGGCTGCAGGGGTGGCCGTGCTGCCCAGGGCCGGAGAGATTGGCACTCATGGAGCCTGCCTTCCCCAGGAAGCGAGCTGACCTCTGCCCTCTGTGCAGGCCAGGGAGCCCCACCCACAGCATCCCAGGCTGACAGAGAAGCTTCATGCTGAGCTGCATCCCCAGACTTTAATTTCTGAGGCAGGGTCTGGCTAAGTAATTGAATTGCTCCAGCTGCTCTGGAACTTGTGATCCTCCTGCCTCAGCCTCCCGAGGGCTGGGGTGACATGCTGCAGGGGCCCCTTGTGCCCGCAGCCTGGGAGGCTGAAGCTGGAGTATCGCTGGGGGCTAGGACTGACAGGAAGCCGCCAGGGGACACAGCCCTGCCCCCGAGGTCAGCTGCGCTCAGCAGATGGGGCGCCCGCAGCCCGGCGCCCTCCCTGGTGCCCTTCTTGTTGGGCCCTGCTCTGCACTCCCCAAGCCCAGCCCCATACCGAGGGCACAGCCAGGCCACAACCCTGCCCTGCCCTTGCCCTTTGCTGCCTGCCTTGCAGTCCCACGTGCCCTGCCACTTGACCACAGCTGCCAGGCCGCCCGGTCTCCCTCTGACGAGTGCCAGGCTGGGCTCAGGTCTCGATCAGAGGCTGAGCTTGGAGCTCTCTGGCCTTGGCGGCGGAGAAGGGTGGAGGAGGAGTGATGCTGGGCTCTGCCCAGGCGGACTGGACCCTGGCCTGGGGAAGGGGACCAAAGATGACCAGGATGTGACCGTGCAGATGCCTGACCCCAATCTCATCCCCTTATCCCCGCACCTGCCCACCTCAGGGGCTTGGCTCCGTGGCCCTTGGAGCCTTGAAGCACCACTTTTTTTTCAGGTATTGGGGCTCAAAGCTAGGGCCACTCTGCCACTGAGCTGTGTCCCCAGCTCTCTTTAATTTTTTTTTTTTTTTTTTTTTAGGTACTGGGAATCGAACTCAGGACCTTGTGCTTGCCAGGCAGGCACTTGTGCCACTGAGCTGTATCTCCAGCACCCCCAGCTCTCTTTATAAAGTTTGGGCAGGATCTCATTAAGTTGCCCAGTCTGACCTTGAACTTGAGATCTTCCTGTCTCAGCCTCTGGAGGAGATAGAAGTGTAGGTGTGCACCACTGTGCCTGTGACCACACCTGCCTTTCTCTTCCCAGGGGTGCTGCACACTCAGTGGGGCGAAAGATGAGCAGAGGGCTGAGAGCCGTTTATGCTTGGCCTCAGTTTCCCTCTGGGGGCCGGGGCGCTGAACCCTGGCCAGCACGCTGTCATCCTGGGCCAGTAAGGCTGACAGCCTGGAGGAGGCGCCGACCGTGTCCCGGCCAGACGTGCAGTGAGCACAGAGTAGGGTGTTGCGCAGCCGCCGGGACGTCCAGCACGGTGGCTTTGTGCTCAGTCTGGGAGGACCTGTGGGGTCTCACTGAGGGGTCTTTCTGGGGGCAGGGACACCACCAGCTCTCAGGCTGGTTGGCTTCTGGGCAGCTCCACCGAGGGGTCCTGGCCCGGAGACCCAGCCCCACTGAGTGAGGCGCAGTGCCCCACTTATCAGCGGGCGCCAGGCTCCAGACCTCGAGAACAGGTGGACAGCTCTCTGCATGGGATGTGACCCACATTGCGGGGACAGAGTCACCTCCTTACAGGGCCATCGGTCCCTCTGGGGACAGACGCTGGACAGCTGGGCTCCTCCAACAGCAAGCAGGGGGCCAGGGAGGCCAGGGCCTGGCAGGAGCAGTGTGAGGTGTGGGCCCTCTGGGGGTTCTTCCCGGGTGCCAGGTGCTGCACCCGCCTCCCTCTTGGGCTGGAGCAGCAGTGGGCACAGCCGGCTCGGTCACAGTGGGCAGGACCCGCACGGGGCTGCCCCACCCCAGGGCACTGTGGGCAGCATTTCGACCTCGGTGCCTGACCAGCCTGGAACAATCCGGCCCTGACCCGTCACTGCCCCTGGCAGGAGCCCGGGACCCAGGGTGGAGCTGAGACACGGTGAGGCCTGGGCTCTATGTGGCCCTGGGCCCTGGCCGCAGGCCTGGGCTTACTGCCCATCTTGCAGGTGGGGACGGAGCCGTGCCCAGCAGTGCCCTCTTCATGCTCCCCACATCCTGCCTGCTCCTCAGTCCAACATGGCAGCCTCATGTGGGCCAGGAAAGGTGACCCTCAGGACACGGCCGGCTTCTGCACTCCTCGGAGGCACTTCTGCAGGAGCAGCCGCTCTGCACTGTGCCTGGCATCCTGCTTACCCCTGCAGCCCCCCCGGCTCCCTGGGGGACAGAAATCAGGCTGGGGCAGTGGCGCAGGACCCAAAGGTCCCCTGCCCCCTCTCTGTAGCTGGCACCGAGTGATGTGGAGAACACAGGTATCTGCCCTGCTGCCAAGGGGCTGTGTGGCCTGGCATCTCCCTCCCATCTGTGCGCTGGGCACAAGGGCTCTTGGGTTCACACCCAGGAAGGCAGGCGAGTGCCTGCCCCAGCGAAGGCCCTGCCAGGTGGGATCTCCCACTGCTTACTTCCGGCACCTCCTCTCCTTGTCCCCACCCTCCTGAGGTACAGGCTGTTGTCACCCTGGGCTCAGGGTGAGAAGATAGGGTTCTCTGCCCGCTGGCCAGCCTGCGTGTGCCCCCAGGTGCCCCCAGGACCCGAGGTCTTGCTGCTGACCCCACACCTGCTGGGCCAGGCCACAGGCTCTGCCACCAGCACGCCAGGAGACACCTGGCCATGTCACTTGTGTCCCAAGCACGCTCCACGCTGGCTTGCAGGCTGGGAAGTGCCCTGGGACCCAAACCCAGGTGCCCACAGGCTGAGCAATGCAGTGGCCTGAGAGAGAACGGCTCCCAGTTCTGCTGCTGGAGGCCTCCCGGCCGGGCCAGGTGCTTGACCTCTGGGCCCGAGTTCCTCCGGCTCACGGCCCAGAGCCACGGCCTTCTCCTTCATCTCCAGGCAGGTCCACTGTCCCAAGTCCAGTCACAGGGGAGGCACAGGTGAGACAGGGCCCAGAGCAAGTCCCACACACCTGTCCTGACCTCCACCTTGTCCTGCCCCCTGGGCCACCCTCCCCAGCGTGGACACCTCACAGCCAGGCGGGCCTCCACCATCGAGGCAGAGTTCACAGAGCATCGGTCACTACACTGCCTGTCTCGCCTGCCAGGCGCCTGGGCCGGCCTCTGCCCCCACCCTGCCCCAGCGCTGGGGACCATCAGCCCTCCCGGGCGGCCCGGCAGAGATGGTCCATCTATTATGCATGCTCCTTCCTGCCTGCACTGCCCCCGCCGGCCGGCCGGCCCCCTCCTCCTGGAGGGCTTTTAACCAAGTGCATTAGGCAGGGCCAGATGCCAGTCTGACAGATGTCGGTAACGTTAGCCGCCCAGCCCGTCTCCGCCCACCACTCCCAGCTGCCAGAACTTCCCGACTTCAGTGCCCCTGCCCAGGCTCCCCGACACCTGCGTCCCTGCCAGGCCTCTGCCACCAGCCCTGGCCGCCCCGGGGGCCTGGCCAACTTTCAGCTCCCAGCTCCTGGGGAGCCGAATGAAGATTCCATCTGGGTGATTATTATTCACATGATATTAATTAATTATTAATTGCAATTAATCTCCTTCATTCCTCCCCTTCCTCCGGGACACAGGAGGCCTGGTCTGGGACCGAGGGGGCAGGCAGCTCTGGGATGTGCGATGAACTTGGCGCCTCAGGGCCATTTTCCAAGGGCCCTGCTT